CTCTCTCTCTCTCTCTCTCTCTCTCTCTCGTTTTTCAAGACAGGGTTTCTCTGTGTAGCTCTAACTGTCCTGGAACTTGCTCTGTAGACCAGGCTGGCATTGAACTCAGAGATCTGCCTGCCTCTGCCTCCCAAATGCTGAGGTTAAAGGTGTGCGCCACCACCACTGCCCTGGTGTGTCAAAGTTTCTTAAATTAGTAAGTTGTTCTGAAACAAATAGCTAGGAAAAGAGCTGGCCATGACAGAGCACACTGGTAGTCCTAGCACTTAAGGAGGCTGAGGCAGAAGGGGCACTAGTTAGAAATCCTCTACCTCAGAGATAAGTACCTGATGACAACTTTCTCCTTGCCAGGACTAAATACCCGACAAGAGTGACTGTAGAAGGAAAGATGTGGTGGTTTGAACGTGAATGGCCTCCATAGGCTCGTATATTTGAATGTTTGGTTCCTAATTGGTGGACTGTTTAGGAAGGATTGGGGGGTGTGGCCTTGTTAGAGAAGGTGTGCCACTGGTGGTGAGTTTTGAGGTTTCAGAAGCCCATGCTAGGCCCAATGATCACGTGAGCTCTCAGACTCCGCTCCAGCACTGTGCCTGTCTATCTGCTGGATATTCCTGCCATGATGGTCATGAACTATAAAACTCCACTTACATGCTTTCTTTTAAAAGTTGGCTTGGTCATCGTGTCTCCTCACAGCAATAGAACAGTATCAAAAACAAAAGATTTATTCTGACTCAATGTGTGAAGAAAAAGGCCATCCTGGTGTGTGTGTGTGTGTGTGTGTGTGTGTGTGTGTGTGTGTGTGTGTGTGTGTGTGTGTGTATGTGTGTAGGGGTGAAGGGGGTGGGCACATGCTTGCCCACGGGCCAGGGCAGTTAACTAGTCACTTTATATCCAGAGACAGGAAGGTGGGGAGGGGGACCAGCCAGCAAGAGAGAATGCTAGTGCTCAGCTCTTTGTCTTTATTCCGTCTGGAACTCTGTCTATGGCAATTAGGGTGGGTCCTCCTACCTCTTTAGCCCAGTTGAGAAGTTCACAGTCATGTACAGAGAGGTTTGTCTCTTGGGTGAGTCTAGATCCTGTCAAGGTGACAGCATTAAAACTGCAGTCACTTAACTCCTCCTCCTCCTCCTGCTCCTCTGGTTTTTGAGACAGATCTCACTAGACATCTCTGACTGGCCTTCACTCACAGAGATCTTCCTGCTCTTGCCTCCCAGTTCTGGGAGTTATGGCATGTGCTACCATGCCCACCCTTTATTACGGTTTATTTAATAATTTATTATTTGTTTACTTTTAGACAGTGTCTCACTATTCAGCCCTGGCTGTCCTGAAACTCACTATGTAGACCAGGCTGGCCTTGAATTCACAGAGGTCTGCCTGCCTTTGCTTCCTGAGTGCTGGGATTAAAGGTCTCCTCTACTACTGCCAGCTCTTAATCATAGTTTTTAAATAAAGAAAATGGAAAGTGTTTTTCTTGCTTTATAGACAGAAAGAAAGCATTTTTCTGTCCAATATAATGCTTATGCCATGGGCCAGAGGAAGGAAGAGGGAAGCTTGTGAGTTGAGCATGCTATCCAATAGTGATAGGATCCACCCACAGCAAAGGTTAAATGGCAGCTTTTCTTCACAGTGTAAGCCATAGTGTTTTATATATTCTCCTGTGCAGCTGCGTTCTACCACATGGAACAGGTAGGCCCAAAGACGACAACTTCTCTTCGTTCTCCATGGTAAAAGTAGACTCTTGTGCCAACCTGATTCTTGATGTCCGTGTACTCACTAGTTCATGACGGCACTTGCAGATGGACTTCAGCTCACTGAAGCAGGTGCTGTACTGCTTACTTGGGAGAGGCTGCAGGCGGCGTCTGGTTTGGCTTTAGCTTCTGTGTGGGCATGGTACGGATGAGACCAGTCTCTGGGGGTCACCAGGACATGGCCTCTGGAGCAGCCCGGCTCTGAAAGCTTATTCTGTAGTTTGTAATTGGTTGTGTTTAGGGAAATTTGCTCTGGCAGATTTTATTTCTTTGTTGATGGTGACAGTTTTTGAGTTGTTAAGAAGTAACATATAGAGTGTCTGATATGTGTAAGTGGCTAGGAAACGGTGCTAGTGTAGCTGTGCTGGTCAGCTGTCACTGCAGTAAAACACCCGATTAAAAACTGCTGCATGGAGGAAAGGTTTACTCTGACTGGTGATTCAGAGGTTTCCGCCTATGGTCACTCGGTTCTTTTGTTTCTGGGCCATGGTGAGGCAGAGCGTAGTGGTGGGAAATATGGGTAGAGCAAGGCTGATCAGATCAGAGTGGCCAGGGAAGGGGTGGGCCAAGAAATGGCTGAGGGAAGAAGAGGCCAGGGACAAGCTATACTCTTCCAGGTCATTGGTTCCCTCCCCCACCCCCCCCAGCCATCACTCTCAAGACCCCACCCCTGAACAGTAGATCATCCATGTATGGGTCAGGGCAGAATACTTCAAACCATAATAGTGGTAGAGGTAATGAACACCCTTTCCCAGAGTTTCCCAGAGAATGCTGCATGGAAGGAGGTGGATCTTTTTTTCTGGGCAGAGAGATTGTACTAGAACTCTTCATTGATAAAGTTTTGTGGATTTTTACTGACACTGGAAGTTTAAACATTTGTTCTTTTGTTTGCAAGCATCTTTTGATTGCAGAAGGACTTCTGAGTTGCGTTAGTATCAGCTTCAATGCAGATATGGGTGGAGGGCGTGTTCATGCAGCAGAAACCTTATTTCACAATAGTAGGTCTGGTGAGGTTACTGACTTTGACAATTGTAGTGTTTTGTTTTTTTTTTTTTATTATTATTATTATTATTATAGGCCAAACAGGCAAGTCCTTTGGTTCTGGGCTTATACCCCACTCTCCTATGTTTAGTGGTAGATATTCTTTTATATCTTGCAGTTCAGTTGAGGATGACCTGGAAAAGTGATTAGTGTGAAAATGCCCTTTAAAGCACAGTGGAAACAGGAGGTGTGGAGGGTGTGACTCTGAGGAGATTGCTAAGATTAGAACTGTAGGCTATAGAGAGTTTAATTGCCTCCTCTTCTGCTTCAAGGATTCCTTTTGGTCAGGTGCTAGGTTGTCACATTTCTTCCTATACACAAGGGATGTCTTACAGGAGGGTTAGGATATTGGAAGTTGTGTGTCTAAAACATAGACACATAATGGTCACAGTGATGATGATGAAGAGGAATAATGTAAAATGCTGCTGCCACTTGGCTGTGACCACGGAGAGCAAAAGGCCTTTTACCCACCTTTCTGCGTGGCAGCCTGCCATCTGGTAACACATGCTTAGAAATTCTGTAGGCTCTTTTAAGTGCTAGGAATTTTTCTCATTGATAGTTTTACTTTTCCTAAATGAAACTTTATTTTTTTAAAGATCTATTTTTATTCATGTGTGTGTTTAGTATGTGCATGTATGTGTGGGTGCGCCAGGTGTCCGATCCCCTGGGACTGGACTTCCATGCAGTTGTGAGCCACCTGATGTGTGTGCTGGGAGCTGGACTCACTCACTCTGCAAGAGCAGTGAGCGCTCTGAACAGCTGAACCATTTCTTCACTTGACTTAATTTTTTTTGGCATTTAGTGTGTGTGTGTGTGTGAGAGAGAGAGAGAGAGAGAGAGAGAGAGAGAGATTGCAAGAGCGAGCAGTACACCCTGTGAGAGAGAGAGAGAGAGAGATTGCAAGAGCGAGCAGTACACCCTGTGTGTGCAGTTACCCATAGAAGCTAGAAAAGGGTGTCGGTTCCCCAAACTGGAGTTACAAGGAGTTTTAAACTACTGCCTGTGGGTGCTAGGAACAAACTCAGCTGCTCTAGAAGAGCAGAACCACTCTTAACTTCTGAGCCATCTCCCCAGCCTCGTGATTTATTTTTTAATATGTCTGTGTACACGCACAAAGCAGAAAATGAAATCCTCAAAGCTGGTCTGATTCTGTTAAATAGTAACTACCCCAGGACCTGTTTTTCTTGCATAATACTCTAGTGGTTGAGGGAGTGAACTAGAAAGGATAGCACCAACATATTTGTACAGCTGGGGTGTACAAAGAAAGAACACTGAACTTTGGCTTCTGCCATTCCTTTTATTATATACATCTCTACAAGTATGTTGAATGTAAAAGCTTTTTAGTGAAGGACTTGAGGGTTTGGAAGTCACTGTTCTGTCTAGTATATCAGAGATGAGCTGTTTATAGGAGTGGCTGTAAAGAACATTGTCACTACTAATAACCATACTTACTTTAACTGTGAGCATGCAAATGTGATCAAATGTTTGTCATCTGGTAACAGGCATGCGTTTGGAATCACATTTGTGGCTTAAGCCGGAACTTCAAAACTATAGGAAGTAGTCAGAAATTGTTTTCTTGGTGTCTCAAATGGGAAACGTAGGTGTGGTTAAGTCACAAAGGCAGCACTCATTTCCTGTCCCTTGTGGTTTTAGAGTTTTGCATCACTTGTTACAACAGAGTGGCACTGCAGGTTATAGACTTTGAAGCACAAATGTACTCAGATTTATTTGTGGATCTAGGAGCTTGAACACTGGAGCATGTTGGAAAGTGCATATTCCTTGCTCAGTAAGAATGTTCAAGTTTCTGGCTGAGAGCTGGTGGGACTTCAGGACTTGGGCCCAGTGTGAACATAAATGTCTGCATCATGCCTGCTTAGCAGAATTGTGGATGGAGTTGATTGTCCTGCTCTTCAGTTAGGATCGTAGCACAGAGAGCCTGGATCTCAGGGTCCATTTGCACCTTTGTGCTGGGTGTGGTGGTACCTTCTCCACACTGGAGGAGGCCTGCTGAGCCAGCATGTGGGGCCTTGGCTGGCAGTTGGTCCCCCTGAGAAAGTGCTCGCTGCCAGTTCTCCCGTGTCTCTTGGGGCTCATCCAGGGGTCAGGCCCTTGTGTAGAAACTTAGGTTTTACAGGAAGAGGAAGAAGTCAGTGTGTGAAGCAACCTAAGTTATTGTATCATGTCCTGTGAACCCCTTTGTCACAAGAATCCTGGCAAATGCAGAGCAGCACAGGAATTTGAGTGTCATTACATTAGACTAAGAGAATGTGGATCGTTCTGTTTACTGAGGAAGTGCTGCTGTCGTACACGACAGTGTATACAGTTAATAAAAAGACAGAGACCAGAGTTTCAGTAGCTATTTAGCCCCTACAAGGAGATATTTATGCCCAGACTGCACCATCTGGGATTTTGTATCAGTTGTTTATTGTCTGTGTGTTGACTTGCTTATATTCTCATTTTGCTTATTTGTATTTATTGGGCACCTACTTTCTAGCTGCTTTAATTTGACTAGTTTTATCTAGCTGAGTTTGTGTCTAGTAGGGTTTTTTCTTCGTTTATACACATACATGTTCTTTTAAAGGTTTTTATTTTGTGTGTATTAGTGTTGGCCTGTTTGTATGTGCACCACATACATGTCTGGTGCCCAAGGAGACCAGAAGAGCATCGTATCCTCTGGAACTGAAGTTACAGACAGTTGTTAGTTACCATATGGATGTTGGTAATTGAACCTAGGTCCTATACAAGAGCAGCAAGGCCTCTTAACTGCTGAGCCATCTCCCCAGCACAACATACGTACATTTAATGTTATAAATTTCCCCCAAGCACTATTTCAGCTTTATCAGAGTTTAATATATACACCATATCACTTAATTTAAATGATTGCCAAATTTTGCTTTAAATCTCTTTGTTTAATCTCCAGATATTTGGAGATTTCCTATATATCCTTGTTAGTGTTTTCCTGTTCAGTTTTGTTATCTGAATATAGTTGTATGATTTTCAGTTCTTTTAAATTTCTTAAGGGGATGAAGAGATGGCTTGGCAGTTAAGTGTACTGACTGCTCTTTTGGAGGACCTGAGTTTGATTCCCAGCACTCATGACCACCAGAGTGAGCCCAGACTGCACCATCTGGTGCTTCTACTATATCGGTCACTAATAAGAAAATGCTCATAGGCTTTTCTTACAGGCCCATGTGGTAGGGACATTTTCTCAGTTAAGATTCTTTCTTCCCAATGACTCTAGCCTGTAAAGTTGACATAAAAATGAGCTAGTACACCTGAGTCAGCAATTTCTTTTACTGTCTTTGTGTCTACTGGAAAATGTAATGTTTTAGCTGCCCTCAATGCCAGTGTTCACTTACTCAGGGCCGGGATGGTGGTGGTAAATTGATATAGAGCAGCTAGGGTTTCTGTGCTATCCGCACACACCTCTCATGCCTGCCACACACTTTGGGAGGTCGGTTACTTGGGTGCTTTTAGCACAGTTCCTGATGGGGTTTATTTAGCAGTGGCAAAATCTATCTGTGCTCTAGTCTGAAAGGGATATTGTTTCTGCGAGAGTATTTTAATCTGATAGAGCAATTTATAACAAAATGCCTACAACTTTATCGATTATGTTACAGCAAATGGGAGGTAAAGAGCCCCAGGCCTGGGTGTTGATTATCTTCCTGGGACATCCACTCAAGTGTGATCCCCACTCCCCATGTCAATTTTATTAGTAATTTCCCCAGCCAGTATTCTTTCCTGTGCCATACTTACTCAGTTGCTATTCTGTTCTAGGCCTGGTATTTGCTATATTGTTAAATCACCTGAAAACAATGGTTCAGTCTTGTGGAGAAGGGGCAGTGTCTGCCTATAGGTAGGAAATGAGCTGTTATACCCACATAACTGAAATGTGATAGCCCAGGAGGATTGTTAGAAGTCTACAGCCTCTCTCTACAGAGATTTCATCTTGTGGCTGGCAATGCTTAGACTAGATGGACTACAGTTGACCTTGGTTTAATTCTTTCAAGTTTGGCTCTCTTGGATTGGGTAGCAAACTGGTTAGGATACTACCAGGAAAACAGAAACCACACGTATTTTAACCTAGACTGCAGTGTAGACAGTTGGTTAAATAGGTGTTAGAAGGCTAGGGAAACAGTGAGGGAGGCAGCACAGTTGGTAACTACAGGAAGCAGCTCCATCACTGAGCCAGGGTCAGGGGAAGGAGATCAGTAGGTTAAGTAAGTTTCATGTTGCTGGTGAAGGCTCAGGTCTTAAATGAGTAGGCCACACCTCCTTTCCCAGGAGCTCTGAGGAGGCCCAGGAAGCTGGCATTCAAGCATTCATTCCTTTAGGAGCTCTTGGCCCTCCGAGTATGCATATGAGATAGGTGCTGGGACTGTAGACTGAGTTGGAAGGGGTGAGTCATGAAGTTGGGGTAGGGGCGTGGGATAGCTGTTGCTGGTCAACGATGTTGGAGAGCGAGCCCACGGGAAGGCTGAAGCCCTTCCCCCTTCTCTCTACCTGGCAGTCTTCCTCTAGCATCTCAGTGGTACAGCCTGGGGGCTCAGGAGACTTGGGCTTTATAGAGCCTCCACCTGCTCACAGGCTGACAAGTAGGAACTGTGTCTTAACTGGTCTTAGAAGCTTCTTAGGAAAGGATGCATTTAGGTGCATAATCTTTTCTTGAAAATAATCATTTTTTTTTCTCCCCACATGATACCAAGTGTTCTATAATAACTTCTGTGCTAGGTTATTATTGTGGAAAGTAGCCAGATGTGGGGCTTAAGGTATTTCTTTAATAAATTACCTTTAGATACAAACCAGAGGGTCAGGATTTCCCCTTTAGTTTCTAAGTGGTCTTAAAATTAATTGAAGATTGAGTTTTAGGTTTGACTTAAAGCCACTAGTAGTCTTGACATCTGTAGAGAGAACATGAGGCTTGAGTTAGGGAGTCTTGGCTTCAAAATAGCCTGCTTGTTGATCTTGAGCAATTTAATTGTAGTTTTCTCACACTTTACTTCTCGTAGCTATTAAAAGTGTTAATCTGGAGGTGGTGGCGCACACCTTTAATCCCAGCACTCAGATGTAGAGGCAGGTGGATCTCTGAGTTCAAGGCCAGCCTGGCCTTCAGGACTACCCAGGGAAACGTGTCTAGAAAAACAACAAAAGGTGTTATTCTTTGATGTTTACATACAGTGCTTCTAGTCCCCAGGGAATGATAAAAACCTGAAACATATGTAGTGAAATAAAAGATAAGGGACTTAAAATGCTGCTCTAGAAAATATATATTTGACAGAAAAAATGGCAAAAATCAGACTTTATTGATAATTATATTATACATTTATAGCTAATTACATTAGTTATAATGGATTAGATTTTGTTGTTAAAAAGCAGAGATGGGCAGAATGGATTTGAAAATCCATGATCCAACTACCAAGAAACTCACTTTAGATTCAAGTGAGGATAGATTGGAAGTCAAAGGATGGAAATTGATATTCCATGCAAGCACTAACCACAAGAACTAGTAACCATCTTAACTATAGAAGAGAGTGCATCACAAAGAAGTGTGATGTGGATAGTACAGTACCTCTTCTCGCATACATGCCTGTGCCAACTCAGAAACAAAGCACCAGGCTTTAAGTGTGTCCAAGGTGAGTACTGCTCCTACAGTCTAGGAGGCCTGGTCCAAAGCTGAAGCTGAAAGTATGCTTTCACTTGCTGTTGACTCTTTCCCTCCTCCCTAGGTACGAAGATGCCCTGGTCCTCTTGCTCACAGAGGTGTTGAATCGAATCCAGTTCAGATACAACCAGGCCCAGCTGGAGGAGTTGGATGATGAAACTCTGGATGACGATGTAAGAGACATTTCTCTCCTGCTGGTTTCTGAAAAATTGTTTTACAGGCAGTTTACCTCTATGTTTATTTCTATACTAGAAATATAGAGAGGCCAGGTGTGCATGAGAATTGCTTTAATGAGTCCTGTACTCTGGACTGTCTCTCTACCTAGCTGGATGCCGGTAGGAATAGTTCAAGGAGTGTTTAAATGAGAAGGCTGGAATGATAGTCTGTTAGGCATATGCTAGAAGCTGTTAGTTTTAAACTGAACCTTGTGATTATATCGCTGCTAGTCTGCACAACATTAATAAGGAAAATATTCTTAGGGGCACAACTCTAGTGTTCCTTTCCTCCTAACTATCAACCACTTGAAAATTTTCTAATGTTAATATCATTCTCAAAATTAGAGTGACTGGTGGCATGATCATGACCTTAAGAGTAGATTTTTAAAATAAGAAAAAGGACACTTTACTTAGAACCAGATGACTTGGATTTGAGGCCCTGCAACTTTGGGTGCAGAGGAGATGTAGTTTTGAGTTTTTCTGAGCCTTGATTCCCTCATCTCCACAATAGAAATGGCCTGGTTTGCAGACTTGTGGTGACAGTTCCATGAGGCAGCACAATATGGAAGGATGAGTTGTGCTGCTGAGTGAGTGAGGGGTTTCCTCGCCTATCGACCTTCTAAGAACCGCGAGCACAGCTTGTTAAAATGCCTCCTGATTTTGGAGGTTTGACACGGGACCAGAGTTTTGTGTTGCAGACTGGTCCCTGGAGACATTGATGCTGCCTATGAGTCACGCCTTGTATGGTGCTAATTGAGTCAGGTGTGTGTGTAAAGAATGACTGCTCCCTATCAGTGGGATAATAGAGAAACCACTCAGACTTATCACATATGACTCTGAACTCTACACTCCTTTGATCCCGGGAGGAAAAGTGAATTATTCTATGTGAATTATTTGCTTTCTGAAGAAGTAGCTTGTTAGGAAATGAAATTATATTAAAAAAAGAAAATAACTAACTGGGCCTTTTTTAAAGTTCCAAATTCCTGGTTCCACCATTTCCTATTTTCTCTAAATTTAACATCTGAGAATAGAGTTAAGGCTAATGGGAGGCTGGTAAAGAGGACAGGGATCTGCCTGTCCTGGAGAGCTGATACCTTTGTTTTCTCCCCACAGCAGCAGACAGAGTGGCAGCGGTACTTACGCCAGAGCTTGGAGGTGGTAGCCAAAGTGATGGAGCTTCTTCCCACACACGCCTTCTCAACTCTGGTAACTCTCCACTTGAAGGGGGAGTCTAACTGGTTCCTGACCCGTAGAACATGGCTTTTGTACTTACCTGTCCATCTTTTTCTTCTTCCTTGCTCTGTATCTATACATTATTTTCTTGTGTGTGTGTGTGTGTGTTCATATGCATATGTTTGTGTGTTTTCTGTCTGTCTGTTACCTATATGTTTGTTGAGGTTAGCCTCACGTGATGTTCCTCACACACCATCTACTTTGTTTTTTTAAGACAGAATCTCTTTGTGGCCTGTAACTCACCAAGTAAGCTATGCTGGCAGCCAGCCACAGAGATGCTCTTTTCTCTGCCTCCCCAGTAGGAAGCACAAGAGCGGTGCCACCATACCCAGCTTTATTTGTGTGTTTTTTAATGTGGGTTCCAGGGATTGAACTCAGGTCCTCTTGTGTGTGGTGAAGCAGTCTACCAGCTGAGCTAATGCTCTAGCCTTTGTTTGTTTATTTCTAGACTAGTTACCATAAACCAACTTCCACCTGTACTGTTAACATTTTCATGAACTATTTTATGCCCACTTCTGGAAGCACTGTTTCGTCTTAGATGCAGTATGAATTTTAGAATTATCTTAATGCTTTTATTAGTGTCTTGGAGGCAGCCAGGCCAACAGAAATGTCACTGGCAGAAATTACATTGATAGAAGACTAACCTGTGCATTCCCACCGTGGGCAGACTGCTCTGTCTCTCTTCTGGCATTTATGTGCTGGGTTCCATCTCCTTAAAGGCAAGCTAAGTTCCTGGGGTCTGCTTCAGCACGTAGCTGTAAGCCACTACTTGGCATTCTCTCACAGGAAGTGGCAGTTTACTCTGCTACCTGCCTTTCTTAGGCAGTTTAAGTTATTTATTTATTTATTTATTTATTTATTTATTTATTTATTTATTTATTTATTTATTTATTTATTTATTTATTTTTTGAGGCTGGGTTTTTCTGTGTAGCCCTGGCTGTCCTAGAACTTGCTCTGTAGACCAAACTAGCCTCGAACTCACAGAGATACACCTGCCTTATAAAGTCTTATCTTAATGGTGAATATAGCAACCTGGGAAAGAAAGGTAGCACTATGAAGTTCTGTTTGCTAAATGAGCAAGGAAAATCATTGCGTCTGCCTTTTCTCTTTGTCATGCACATTAATAAGACATACCTGATATTTCTTTCAAGATCGGGGACCTTCTCAGACTTGATGGACAACCTAGCTCTTAAAGTTGCAGGTCTTGTAGGGCTGATGCCCTTTTAGGACTGTAGTAGTCATGCCCCAGAATCTTTTGCTATGACTTTTAAAGCAGTCAAATTGACCTTGATTTCTTTGTTGTTCTGGTTTGATCTGTAGTACTTGGGAGGGTACTGAAAGGGAGCTGTGCTTAGTGCCTGTAAAGGGAAGTTTATGATCCTGTCCTTCTCCTCATAGGTACTTAATGCTTTAATGTTAAAAATAGTATCAAAACTTTTATGATTTTTGTTTTAAACTTTGTCTCTTTGTTTTCAGTTCCCAGTTCTTCAGGACAATTTAGAAGTTTATTTGGGATTACAGCAATTTGTAGTTACTTCGGGGTCAGGTAAATTGGTCTTTACTTTCAAATTTAGTTTAGCATTAAAAAAGTTGGACTAATAGTTAATTACTGTCACCTCTGCTATAATAATGTGATTTCCCTTGTACAGCTTCTGTTCACATCTCTTCAACTTCTGAATTGAAGTTTTTAGAACTTCCTGCTACAAAGAAGCTGTGGGGGAAGCTAATCAGGGCTCAGACTAAAGTCCTGGAGGGCTTCCTTATGTTCCTTCAGACAGCAAGTGCGCCGGAAAGAAAATGGCTGGGGCTTTCACTAGGGTGGCAGCTCCATTCATTCTGGTCAAAGGGCCGTGATAATAATGACAGCCTCTCTGTAGAGCACTCATTGCATGCCAGGCACCAAGTTGTTTACTGCGTCGTTCCATTTTCTTCTCCATACTTGGAGACAGAAGTATTGTTACTAGTTATTGTTATTTTACAGAAGAGGATAATGCTCTTCAGAGTTGTTGATTTACCCAGGGCTGCATGGTCCGGTTTGTAATAATAGCAAGATGGAATAATGGGGAGTGATGGAAAGATGCCATAAACTGGAATTCATTTTTCCCAGATGAAAACACCAATAACCTTAAGTTCGTGTGTCACTCCACCCTTCCCCTACCCTGCCTTGTTTATCCCACTGTGTACTGCTCTTCACCATTTTCCTACACACTGACCTAGCCTGTAGCCTCTTGTCTGGTCTGGCTCTGAGCTACCCAGAAAGCAGCTTCCTCCTGGGTGAACTGGCCATTCATGATGAGGCCTCTTTGTGAGGCTGCCCTGGCCACCCGGGACAGTTTGTTTCTATGACTATAATTACTCATTCATTGGTCCCCAGGAGGGTGATAGGACTTGGCATGCCTCAAGTACAGGCTCTGGCTCTGTAGCCTGGCTAAGAACATCTTATATAAACTTTGAAAAGGCACTTTGCAAAATGAACATGCATGTTTGCACTAATGAAGATCATTTGATACAAAATGCTTGGTGGTTCCAGAATTGGTGGTCTCCCTTTGAAGGCCATTGCAATTAGAATTGTACTCTAGGCCCTAAGAATCTTTTTAAAAAGAGCATAGCCTGCCCTCCTCCATTGACCCATAAGGTTGATTCAGTGTTGTAGTTGACTTGTTGTGTTGGTGTTGGTGGTTTATCACTTTGTAGCCCTGGTAGGCCACACACGTGCTATGTATATGTAGACCAAGCTACCCTAGAACTCACTGAGTGCTGGTTTAAGGCATGACTCCACCAAGCCTGGCTGTGATTGATGGTTGTCTCTGGGTAAATGTCTGCATGAGTTTCTAATCCTTTTCTGAGATTGCTGATACCCAGCTTCCTAACGTGGAAGGGCAGTCTTAGGTCTCCCTGCCCTCGCTGAAGCCCATTCCACGCCAGTTCACAGAGCACTTGGCTCTTCTAGGTCATTATCTCATTCTCAGTGCGTACTTCGTAGTGAAACCTCTCAGGCCAAATAAACTCATTTGAGTTTTCTTGCGCATTGTGAAGCATTCCTCCATGCCTTAGTAGCTTGGAAGCCAAGTTTCCAGTGCAGAGGTTCTTTGAAAAAATGAAAATGTTGACCAGTTTGTTCCCTGGTTCTCATGGGTGTTGGCTCCCTGCTCATGGGTGTAAGCGACCTCCCTGCCCTGTTGTCAGTCTTCTTGGTGGGCTGTGGTGAGGAGCCAGGTACAGTTTCCCCTTCATTCGACTATTTCTGACACTCGAGTCTACTGTGATTTGTAGCGGAACCACCCCCACCCCTCAGTACACACTCACACCAGGCACTGTTTTGTTAGCATATTTGCTACTGCTGAACTTCCTGCTAATGCTTCTTTGTTAAAAAACAAGGCAAAACACATCCATGTCAGCTGCTGTGTGCCTCATGCTCTTGATAGGTCAGCTTTTGCCCTCACTGTCAGCATCTCCTGTGTGTGGACGGAGACCCCGCCTTGGCTGTTCTCCTCAGATCTGTTCTGTATTTGCTTCTGCTGTTCCTCATTGAGATTTTCCCTTAGCTCTGAGTAACCTATCAACTTTCAGTTAGTCACGAAAGCTTTCTTACCGAAGAGATTGTTGCATTTATAGGATAGAAAGCTTTAAATTTGTGTTATTTGGTATGTGAAAGCTGTTTTCTGATTTGTGTATTCTCTCAGAGTGGAATACCTTAATTGCTCCTATGTATACCTCTACCTTTCACCTCTCCGGCAAGGAAGCTACTTTTTAGACTGCTTCATGGTAGCTTGGCTTAGTGAGGAAAGAGTACTTTAAAAGCTTGTCTAATCCTGTATGTAGTAGCATTTCCGTTGAAAGGTTCTACCTCGCAGACATTCTGTGTTCTTTGCTACTGGGTGTGGCTCCTATGAGAGATCTGGAGTCAGTAATGGGATAGGCTTTCAGGTGGTTGTGAAGTGACAGGGAGGAAGATTGCCGATGACCAAGCCTTGGCCCACTAGGGGACAGCATGGGTATTCTTAGGTGACTTGAGTTTAGGAAAAAGGTGCAGACACGCAGCAGATGACTACTTATTCTGACTAGTGGCCATGTTAGCTGTTGGTTTCAAGTCAGTAAGGAGACAATAGATGGCAGGAGAGCAAGCACCAGGGGAGGAGGTTAAGTGGTAGATGGTGAAGGCCTGGAGTGGCTCTGGGAGGACACAGATTTGAAAAGTGCTAAGGGAGTGTGGGATTGCAGCTGCCCTAGCCTGGGCCTTAACTGTGGCTTCCTACTTGATATCACCCATGTTTGATAAACACGTTGTCAGACTCTGGTCTTTCTCCAGACTGAGAGTCCTGACTGCCTTCTGGTTCTGTGGGTGTCTGTGAAGAGACTGGTCCACAAGACAAGGCCTGACCAATTGAGGGTATTTTGTCATTCATCCTAGCATCATACTTGTTAGGTTTGGATATATGTTGAAAAGTAAGAAAGTTTCAAGCCTTAGAAAATTTTAACTCGTTGTGACCCATAATAATCACAGAATTTAACCATGCCCTGTAGATTGTAGGGTTTTAATGTACTCTGTCCTATAGTGAATTAGGTGATAGTAGCTTCGCCATTTTTAAGGCTGAAGAGACAAGCTTGGAAGGGTTGATGGTATAGTGAGAAAGTAGTGGGGACTGTCTACTGTACCTGAGTCCTGTGCCCATTTCTCCCTGTTGTGTTGGCCAAAAACCTGGGATGGAATGCAGAGCTCACAGAGAGCACTAGATCTGCCCTGGACATAGGACCATGGTGGGCATGTTATGTACTGGACTCACCCATTTGCATGTCCTTGTGTGTAGGTTGGTAATGTCATAACTGTACCAGTATCAGAAGGAATGAGGTCAGGGATATACCAGGCTGTCTGTCATCATTGCCCTGGGTCCCTGGAGCAACATAGATAAAGTTGTAGGTGGAGGCTGTCCCTAGATGTGCTCATCTATCTGTACTGGGAAGCAACTAAAGGTTTTTATTGCTGGAGCATTATTAGTTTACCCTGTTTGGCTTGTTTGGAATGGTTGTTTATTACAACTAAAGCTTGTTCTTCTCTGGAAAACTAAGAGATGTTGTGTTCCAGGCCCCAGGCTGAACATCACAGCGGAGAATGACTGCCGGCGCTTGCACTGCTCACTGAGAGACTTGAGCTCCCTGCTGCAGGCTGTGGGCCGGTTAGCCGAGTACTTCACTGGGGATGTGTTTGCTGCAAGGTTCAACGATGCTCTCACAGTCGTGGAGAGGTAGGCTGGCTGTGCCCTGCAGCCCCTTCTTCAGAGTTAAGCTCTCCTTTTCATGGGAGGATGGCATGCACCGTTGTGTATCCTCTTGTCTTTTGTGCCACGGATAGGTTATTATGGAGCAGATTGCCGTTTGATGGACTGAGCTTTAAGGCCCCCATCTGTGAAACGGTGGGAAAGGTTTCTTATAGTTTACTGTGAGATTTGAATAAGGTACTTAATGTGGTGAATAAAACAGAACACACAGTAAACACAAGCCAAGCTGTTAGTCATTGGCAACCTTCTATGTAGCTGTAAAAATGGTATTGGACTCAGAAAAATCCAGGCACAATCAAGTTCCATGTCTTTTCTGATGGGATAAAGGAACATCAAGAAAGGCCTAATGGGGCTGGGAAGATACCTTGCAAGAGGGACCTGAGTTTGATCCTCAGAACACAACATTTAAAAACAAAAACAAAACAGAAAAAGCCCAGGCACAGTGACACACTTCTATTCCCAGCTCTGGGGAGACAGAGACAGGCAGACTCCTATGCAGTAGACTCCAGTGAGAGGCTTGCTCCCCACCAAAACAATAGAAGAAGACAGGGAGGAAGAAAGCTAAAAAAGGTAGAAGGTACCTGAGGAATAACAACCAAGGTTGTTGTCCTCCACACTGATATATAATGCACATACATAGTCATGCACGGAAATGGGGGGGGGGCAGACTCCACTAGACAGCAGCATCCCTTTTCGTGTGGGCCACAGGTGATAGAGGTCTAGGCTGTTGATGGTTTGGGTCCCTGGAGAGAAATGCAGCTGTTGGCTGGGAAACATCTCATTCAGCTGCCCAATCCTCTCCCTAAACATCTTGGACACTGAAGGTGGGTCAGGTGGACGTGTTGGGTTCACAGCTGAGTAGGTGTATGGGAAGCCTGATGCTTTATAGTTCGTGTGCTGGTCTCATCACTGGTAACATACAAAGAACCAACCCTAAGAACTGAGTTACTTGCATACCAAATTTCTTATTTGTTTTGTTTGAGAGAGTGTCCCACTGTGTAGACTGGATGGCCTAGAACTCACTCTGTAGCCCAGGCTGGCCTCTAATTCATAGAGATCCACCTGCCTCTGTCTCCTAGGTGCTGGGAATTAAAGGCGTGAGCCACCACACCCAGCTTATACCAAATTTTAAAAAATTTGCATCTTGGCTTAAAACAAAAGATAACTAAAAGTTTATTACTACATACTACCACGATTATTAAAATTAATTAATTAAAATTAATAGTGGTAGTATGTAGTAATAAGAAAATTTTACAAGTAGTTTTTCACTCTCTGTTTCAATCTTTCCTCTGTTGTGTGTGTGTGTGTGTGTGTGTGTGTGTGTGTGTGTGTGTGTGTGTGTGTGTGTAGGTTAAGGACAACTTACAGGAGTCGGTTCTCTCCTACTATGCTCCCCTGGATAAAACTCTGGTGATGAGGCCAGGTGGCAAGTGCCTTTTACCCACTGAGCCACCTCACCAGCCCTTGTTTCTAGACTTCTTGACATCTAAGTGGTGATGCTTTAGCAAATGTTCTTGTAATGAACCCTTAATGCACAGCTCTGGCTATTTTCTTTGAAAGAACTGGAGATCAGATTTTGTTTGTGTGTTTGTTTGTTTATTATATGAAACCTTGGGGTTTTCTTTGGCAACTTGTCCATTTTGTTTGTTTTGGGCTCTCAAGCTTCATGTCCTTTCTCACCTTCTCCTTTGTTAACAGGTTGGTCAAAGTTACTCTGTATGGATCTCAGATAAAACTGTACAACATTGAGACAGCTGTGCCATCAGTGTTGAAACCTGACCTCATTGATGTGTAAGTAGAGTGTGGTGACTGCCTTCTCAAGAGATGTTGACCCTACCTGCAGATGAAGTGACTGCCACAGATACAGGGACACTCTTGAACTCTGACCCTAGAAAGACAGATGTACGTCTGGGGTGAATGTAATTGGATGAAGCTCCGTGGGGTGGGCATTGCAAGAGGCAGCAGTGTGGCCGTGCAGTTAGGAACTAGTGAGCACCATGGTGAAGAGGAGGCTGAAAGGTACACAGGGATGCATGGAAGCTCCTGAACCGTGTGTCTCTTGCCCTGTGGGCAGGTTGTTCACTGAGTTGGTGGATTAAGACAAAAAACAACCATCTTATACAAGATGCTTTTATTGTGGAGGCAGGGTGCTCTTCCCCAGAAACTGAATATCCTCTAATTAACTTCTGACTGATAGCTGGAAGTTGGGATGCCCACATTTCCTCTGAAAGTTTGATTAGTTTGCTGTAGTGGGTCTCCGAACTTGGCAGGACACATCTAGGTGTGTTAGATGAATGCCAGATGAGATGAGCAGAGCATGGTATTGGAGGGGTTCAGAGCCTCCCTGTCTTTTCTGGGCAGTCCCCTCCAGAAACCTGCATGTGTTCCATGATTCAGAGGTTCCCCAGCTCTCCTAGTCCCCTCAGGGTTAGTATGGAGGCATGAGTGATTGGTTATATCATCGGGGAAACCTTTAGTCCCTTTACCTTTCCCAGAGGCTGGGGTGTGACAGAGACCCAGCCCACCAAGCACGTGGCTGGGTCCCTTGGCAATCTAGGGACTTTCCAGAAATTGTCTTGCTTAACATATGCTTAGTTGTGTTGGAAAGGGTTGTTAAAAGTAACCAAAGACTTTTGACTGTTCTGAAGATACTGGAGGAACTGAGGGCAAAAGACCAAAAGTTGTCCTTATTGGGGGGACATTGTAAGGACTGTGGGAGCTCTGTAAACCAGCGACTAGTCCAAACCAAAATAGATGTTCTAAAGCAAGTGGAGCACAAAAGGGCTGTCGAACATCTTCCTCCAGATTTTAAGTGTGGTAGGATGGCACCGGGCCCAAATGTCTGTGTATTAAATAAGAATGTCAAGTTACTTTGATGCTTGACTCAAGACACTCAGATGAAGTATGTACATGGGGGACATGCATGAGAGAATGACCTGGAAGGGATGGAATTTGGGGACTATAAATAAGACCTTATCCCTGTTGCACTGCCCCAGAGGCTTGCTGTGGACTAGAGCAGAGGCTGGTAAATCCTGACCCATGGCACACACACATACACACACCTCCTCCACCTATAAAGTAGTGGTAAGAAGACCAAGCTGCAACAGTTGAGAGACCTTTTTCCCTACCCTAGATCAGATAACAGTTAATGCAATAGAACAAGTGTCCAGGCGTAAGCAGAAGAGTCTGACTTACACATAGAAACTTAAAAGAAGGTGTAGAGTGGGCCAGGGCAAAGCCATAGAAATGTGATGCTTAGCAGGAGTTGAGTACAGACCAGTGCCCACCTGCAGTTTCAGCATGTTTCATTGGAACACAATAGCCATATCCATTCACATATCCACAGTATTTGTGCCGATCTCTACACCACAGCCACAGCTGACAGGAGTATGTGGGTGCAAGGCCTAAAATACACTTTTTTTTAATATAGAAAATGTGCAGCTGAGTGGCAGTGGTGCATGCCTTTCATCCCAGCTTTTTGGAGGCAGAGGCAGGTGGATCTCTGTGAGTTTGAAGCCAGCATGATCTTCAAAGCTGAGTGTCAGGATAGCCCCGGTCACAGAGAAACCCTGTCTCCAGAAAAACAAAACGAAAAAGAGCTGTTCTCTTCAGCTGCAAATTAAAAAAAATGGGGGGAAGAGACTTATTTACTAGGATTTTCTATTTAAAACATGTTACTTTCCTCTTTGAGAACTAGAGAAAGCTGTGTGCCAGCTCCCAAGCAAGATGCCAGTTGGCCCACTATCTGGATACCTTGCACAGGGTGTTTGTGGGCTTGAGAGCCCCCCCCCCTTCTGCCTCGGGGAGCTCTGAGGTGTGTGTGTGTGTGTGTGTGTGTGTGTGTGTGTGTGTGTGTGCGCGCGCGTGCGCGCACTCTGTTGATTGACATGCTCAGACTCCAATTACTGACCTTGCTCACTTGCTGTCCTTCTTAGGTTTGATACCTAGACCTTCAGTAAAAGGTGGACTGCTCAGTGGATTCTGAGTATGAAAAATAAACTAGCTGCCTATAAGGAATTTCTAGTTTTTCCTATTTTGTGCTACTTAGTTCCTTTCTTTCCTAACAACTATTTGAAAAGTTACAGATTTTGAAAAATTTGTAGATATGGTTTAAAAGTGGAAAGGGAAAAACCCCACAGAATAAAATACTCTAATTAGCCTGGAGTCATGAATTGGTTTGGCCATCTTTGCCTTTGTTTTTTAGCATTTCTTTCTGTGTGTTTGTACACTTAGGTACTTTTTGTTGTTGTTGTTGTTGAGTGAGTTGAAAATAAACTTTGATAGCATGTTACTTCACCTGTAAGTCCTTTTAGGTATCTGTCTCATAAGGAACATGGCCGTTCTCTAGAACTGTATCACCTTTGTCCGCACTTACAAAGTTATAAACTAATATTTAGTGTACACACACACACACACACACACACACACACACACACACACACACACACACACACACACACACACTCTCTCTCTCTCTCTAAAGGTTTAATCATGGTTCAACTTTAAATCTGTCTCCCATAATCTAGAGTAGCCCCTAGTTAAATAAGAAAGGAAGAGACAGACAGACACTTTGGAGCCCCAGACCTTGAGTTTACTGTTTAAAGAATATCCTACAGACCAGAGTTGGCCAGTTTTTTCTTCACTGTTTAAGCTGTTGTTATGTGTTTGCACCAAGGTGGCTCATCCTGTGATGTCTTTCCTCTTGTGTCATGTCAGGAGCTGCTTGGGGCACTGTTGACACTGTCTGAGTGTGGAGTGCGGTCTGTCTACACCCTCCCGATGTCCACAGGCCTGATGTCCACAGGCAGGCTCTAGAAGCTGCGGCACTTACGCTGCTCCTCACACTATGCCTTGCTGTCTGACAACATAATCTCTCCACTAAAAGGAACCGGAACTCCTTTGAGAAAATGTATTGTTTTGGGACAGGATGATGCTGAAGTGGTTCCTGAATGTGTCTGGAATATGCAAGAACACACAGGAGCTGGCTTGAAGGGAGTGTTCGTGCTTGGACTTGATCAGCGATTAAAAATGACAATGAATATACTATTTGGAGTAAAAATAATCCATTTGGCCAAACTTTTTTTTTTTTTTTTTTTTTTAAGAATTATCTGTTTCACAGTGACCAAGAAAAGGGGTCTTAATGGTGCCCACACCATGGGGAACTATATATGTAGGTCATATCAGAATATCCACTCAGGTTGCTTAGTGGTGACTGCAGAAAAGGAGAAGTTGTACATAGCTGTGTGGTCAGTGTTTTGAACTAGACTGCTGCCTTGCCTCTGTTGTTTATCATCTTAGTGAGCTTTTAGGATTTTCTATGTTCGACAGACCTGGAACTGGCTATACAGATCATGCTGTCCTTGAACTCAGAAATAAGCCCGCTTCTTCCTCCAAGAGCTAGGATTAAAGATATTCATCACTGTGCCCGACATGTTTTGGGGTTTTTGTTTGGTTGCTTTTAGTTGTGCTTTTAAACAGGGTTTCACTTTGTAGTTCAGGCTGATTTGGAACCTAGAGTGTTTATTCTCACCCCAGCCTCGAGTGCAGGGGTCACAACTTTAACTGTATTTTGTTAATGTGATCTAGTGCAGCTTTTGCAGAAGTCCAGGCAGAACACTCTGAACACTCCAGGCAGATGGGTACTGGGAGGGAGACTTTCTGGAATCTTCTGTCAGAGCTGTATAATACCCATTACTCATTTAGACTGGAGTCTGCAGCTAAGACTGTAAAGTTTTTACTTTTTTTTTGTTGTTGTTGTTGCTGTTGTTTTGTTTTTCAAGACAAGGTTTCTCTGTATAGTTTTGGTGCCTGTCCTGGAGGCTGACCTCGAACTCACAGAGATCCGCCTGCCTCTGCCTCCTGAGTGCTGGGATTAAAGGCGTGGGCCACCACCTCTGCCACCACCACCCAGCTAGTTTTTACTATCTTTTAAGTTAGCATGTCTCCCCTTACGTTTGTCATCATCTTCTTAAATATACTTGTGTATCACAGAAAGATTAAGATCTGGTAGGTATTTAGGAACTGCCCTGCGTATTCTCAGCAGTGTTGGTCTTATACAGGTGGTTGATTTCTACACTGTCACCATGTCCTGGAATGCCCTGCACGGTGGATGAGTTGCTTGTCTTCTTCCCTACAGAAACAACTTCATGCCACTGTGTTCACCTGGCCCTCAGATCACTAACTCTTTCCTTTCTGCAGGCATGCCCAGTCACTTGCTGCTCTCCAGGCCTACTCCCATTGGTTGGCACAGTATTGCAGTGAAGCCCATCGACAGAACACACAGCAGTTTGTGACACTCATCTCTACCACCATGGATGCGATCACACCTCTCATCAGCACCAAGGTCGTGAGACAGAAAATGCTGTACCTGTTTGTCCTCTCCATAGTCCTGTTTATCATAAAACCAAAACAATGTCCAGACATGCCTGTGGAGATCAGAGAACACTTGATAGAAATTGGTTCTCTTTTTCTACTCTGCTAGGCCCTGGTTTGTGGTGGCAAGGACCTTTCCCCCAGAGCCACCTTGCCAGCCCTTATGTCCCTTTTCAGTTGTAGTCCACACATGTTCAAATGTGACTTGGGTTTTGCTTATGGTGAAAGTACCTGCTCCGTTTTGTTAACTAAAAAGTTTTGTTGTTTGATTTCATTCCTTGAAACAACATTGTTCTCAGGATGAACATGGTCAGGGCTAATGGCAATCCTTCTAGACATGCTTCTGTGTTTTTACAGAGAGTTTGTAGATAGCTAGAGGTACTGCTGTTTATTTCTAGCACAGAGCAACTTGAGTTTTCATACTACCCAGTGCTGTTTGCTTATGAGGATGGGTTTTAACTTTCTCATTGACAGAAGGGTGCTCCCTTTATGTCTACTCTTTTTTTGGTTTTTCAAGACAGGGTTTCTCTGTGTAACTTTGCGCCTTTCCTGGAACTCGCTTTGTAGACCAGGCTGGCCTTGAACTCACAGAGATCCACCTGCCTCTGCCTCCCGAGTGCTGGGACTAAAGGCAGACCAGGCTGGCCTTGAACTCACAGAGATCCACCTGCCTCTGCCTCCCGAGTGCTGGGACTAAAGGCGTGCACCACCACCGCCCGGCTATGTCTACTCTTGTACAAATGCCAGAGGGCCTCTAGTGGGGTTCCAGAAGAGACCTTGCTAAGGAAAGGTTGTAGCTATATAAGATGGACAGAGTCTAGTAAGACCTTGCCCAAGAAGACTGTTAACTTGCATGAGGTGCATTCAGCGATCAGGTGTTCTTACTGTCTTTGCACGTCCAGGCATTCTGCTCTAATGGAGCTGTGTTGACTTCCATAAACCTGCTGTGTGTAATGATAAATTTTTAAAAAGTTTTGATGCCCATAAGGAGTATGTTCCATAATTTACCTAGCTCTTGCTCCACTTTTAGGTTGATTCCTTTGCAGGTAAAATTGGGCTGGGAATTTAGCTCAATTAGTAGAGTGCTTGCCTCATGTGGATGGAGCCCTGGGTTCAGGCCCTAGCACTGCTTGAAAACGTGTGGTGGTGGTGGTGGTACATGCCTTTAATCCCAGCATTCAGGGATAGAAGTAGGATCAGAAGTTCACGGTCATCTCGGCTATATAGCAAGTCAAAGCCAGTCTGGGCTACATGAGACCCTGTCTTTAATAAATACTTCTGAAATACATAGATTCAAGAATATGTTTATTCTGTTATATAATTTCCTTAGAATAAGTAGAGATTATGGTGTTACAGGTTAGAAATATTTTGTGATTCTAGGAAATTACCATGATTCCTCCTTCCTAAATTATTCTGCAGACCGTGACTCTTTGGTGTGGTGTTTCACTATCCTACTCATCCCTTACTAGGAAGCTTTCTTAGGTGCAGGTATGGCTCATCGGTAGAGTGTGTTTAACACAGTCAAGGCTGAGGCCAGTTTCTAACCTCTCCTTTCCAATAACTTTTCTTTTATGGATTTGAAGCTGCCAGTGATTTGAACCAAGTTTTTTAGGCATGATGAGGTGAAAGAAATAGGAGAGACTAAGAGATTGATACGATAAAATGCAGGAAGAAAGGGCTGAGTGAGACCTTGGCTTCTGGGGGAGCCAGAGCAGGGAATTGAAGAATACCATGTTTGAAGGGAAGACTTGGACAGCATGCCAGTGAGGACACCGTGTGGTTTAATGGATGTGTATGAGTTGAGGAGAGACTGGGAAGAAGGAACAAGAAGTGATGGTGATGGAGGGCAGGAGCTGTAGATATGGGATAGAAGACGTTAGTCTTGTTAGGAGTCATCAGAGGAAACATGGCAGACTCCCTCAGTGAATGGTACAGTTTGGCAGTCATTAGCTCCACTGCCTCAGGAAAGTTTCTCCAATAGCAGTCTCCGCAGAAGATAGAGTAAGCCAACATGTCACATGTCTGTGTTCTAGGTCCAAGACAAACTGCTGCTGTCTGCATGCCACCTGCTGGTCTCACTGGCCACCACTGTGCGGCCTGTCTTCCTCATCAGCATCCCTGCAGTGCAGAAGGTGTTCAACAGCATCATCGATGCCTCTGCCCAGCGCCTGGCAGACAAGGTAGGATGTTCTCCCTGGGGAAGCTGAGGCAAAAGAGGCTGCTTCTGCTTTTACATTCAAGTTGAAAGCCCCTCAGCTACATGGACTGCTTCCATGGCTAGCACTGACACAGCTTACTGGCTTCCCCACTCACAGCCAGCATCCTGATTGAGATGGGAAAGCTCTCCCCGTCCATGCACAGAGCCATCGTTTGCCTCCAGTGAGTGCCTGTGTTCTCGTTGGTTCGGGCCGTCTGCTTGGCGTTCTCACACACTTTCGTTCTGGGTTTGAGACGTGGCCTGGGAGGCTCAGACTAGGAGTAGGAAGTTGGTGAGGTGGGTGAATTTACAGGCAGGTTCTTCAGAGACCTGAATGTGAGCACGTGATGGCAAGAGAGTGTCCTTGTGAGCCTGTTCTTAGTGGTTTCTTCTGGGTCAGAAGGCAATATCAAAGGCCACACTAGACTATGTCCAGTGAGATTTCTCTCTCTGTGAGGCTTCAGATGCCAGATTGAGCAGGATGAATACTAGCTATGCTCAGTGAGGCCGACCTTGTATATTGAGATCCAGACTAGGGGATACTTCGGTGTTTCTCTTTCCTGCCTGAGTGCCTTAAAGCTGGACGATGGCCAGGCTATAAGAAGGACACCTAGGACCTGAGGCAGAGTCGATCTTGACTACCAGCTTTTGCTTGCCCTTTGACCTCTGATGAATGCCTTTGGGTTCCTTCTAGGCGCAGGTTTTGGTTTGCCGTGCACTCTCTAACACCTTGCTCCTTCCGTGGCCAAATCTTCCTGAGAGTGAGCAGCAGTGGCCCCTGCGCTCCGTCAACCATGCCAGCCTCATCTCGGCTCTTTCTCGGGACTACCACAGCCTGAAGCCCAGCGCTGCCGCCCCCCAGAGCAAAGTGCCGCTGGGTGACAGTAAGTAGCTCCTCAGGCGACTTTGCTTGCTTGTAGTGCCGTGACTACTCTGTAGGAAAACTATCACATCTGCGGACACATTTCCTCCTGTTAGCTTACTGTTGGACACCTGAAGAAGACATCTGTGGACGACACTGCCAGTGGGTGCTGTCCATCCACAAGCCTGAGGCTGACTGTGAACCCGGTTCAGATACTGTGTGTCTGAACAGAGCAGTCCCCCTCTTCTCAGGAGAGCGTACTTCAGAACTGTCTGCTGAGCAGCTTTAAGCTTTTCCAAATAGAAACATTTCAGAGGGTTGGGAAGAGCATGTGTCTTCACAAGTAATACTGAGGTGTGATTATTTACATCAGCGAGAAAAAAATGAAACAATTCTAGTTCATGTGAAAAGGATCAAATTTTCTTTGAAAATAACAAATATCAAAATATTTTAAAAATATTTTAAATTAAAAAAATATTTACCTTTATACTAAGAATAATGAAACACGGGCTGGGCTGTGATGGCTCACACCTTTAATCTCAGCACTCGGGAGGCAGAGGCAGGTGGATTTCTGTGAGTTCGAGGCCAGCCTGGACTAAAGAGTGAGTTCAAGGAAAGGTGCAAAGCTACACAGAGAAACACTGTTAGATGGTGTTGCTTATAGAATAATGTCAGCCGGGATGCTTTGTGAAATATTGCAAATGGTACTAAAGAGTGTTCTTTTTGTAGTTTGCTTATGATAGGTCTTATTGTTTACCTCAGGCTGACTTGGAATTTAGATAGTCCATGCTGAGCCAGAACTTGGGATCTTCTGGCTCTGCCTCCGAGCACTGTTAATACACATCAGATATGCTTCACAGTAACCTGTTTTAACCACCATTTTTCTTTCTTTTTTTGAGACAGCTTTTTTAGATCTCACCACATAGACTAGGTTAGCTGACCAGTGAGCACCAAGTACCGGCCTGTCTCGAGACCTCATCACTGGGGCATGTGTGTGTCTCCATGCTTATTTAGCTTTAAACTGTGGGTTCTGGGGATAGAACTCAGGGTCTCATGCTTATGTAGCAATGGCACCCCCTCCCCCCAGCTCTCTAAGTGCTCTCTTTAAAAAGAATTTTGTTTTTTTCTTTAAACCATTTTGTGTATGTGATGAGTGCGTGTGCTGTGTGAGTGTGGTGTGTGTGCTCAAGTGCACACTTGTAGAGACAGGAGGCATTGAGTGCCCTCTATTACTATGTCTCCTTCCTTTAAGTCAAGGTCTCTGGACCAGAGCTCACATGTTTTCAGACAGACTAGAGGCCGGTAAGGCCCAGTGATCCCGTCTCCATCCCCTTCAGTGCAGGGTTACAGCTGCGTGTGCCACCATGCCCAGCAAGTTACGTAGCTGTGGGTGGGGGTCCAAGCTCTCTTACTCACTGGGCCACCCTTCCAGCTCCCAAAAGATTGTTTCTATAACTTGAATATCAACATGCTCTATATTAAAAATTGCAATAGAATAACTTAAACAAGGAAAGGGAACTCCCACGTCTCAGTTGTGTCCGTGTCATGGAAAACAATTTTAGCTTTACGGTTGTATCCATGTTTTTACTGTGTAGAATTCTTGAGTGACACATGTAGATGGAGTGGCTGGTGTCTTGGGAATGTGCTGTATATGAGGCTCTTGCCTTAGTTTTATATCTGGTATCAAACCTGGCTTTTCCAATGTCAGTTTCTGAAGTCTGGTGCTTGCTTTATCCTAAAGTATCCCTCAAGAAGAAAGGAGTTTTTAAATTCTCATTTTAGCTTCATGATGGAGAGGATATCTGTTAACCTGATTTTATCTGATGTAGTGGCTTGCACAAAGGAAGGAGTTAAGCCTTGCTTCTGCTGAATGTTGAACACACATCATGCTCAGGACTGGAAGGAATGAAGGCCACAGACTGGTGAATTTCACTCCAGTGTGAGCTCTCAGTAGGAGGGCAGGTGGAGGGTTGATACACGTTCCTGGCCAGAACAAGCTGTATGGCCAGGACTTAACCTCAGAGCAGATAAGAGGGTGAGGCTGTTAGCTGGTATGGTTCCTGGCATAAGCACTGGCCTTAAAACCTGGTATATGTGGTTTCTTTGGCTTCCTCTTCTCTGGAACCTTCAAGCATATTCCGTTGCCTTCATTCTTAATGAATGTTTGGAAAAGGGTTCCCTTTCCTTGCTCAACTTTATATTTTGAAAACTTTAAATTTTCAGAGTAGTTGAAATAAGAATCATGCTCTGTGAGTTTGCAGTTAGCCTGGTCTACATAGTGAGTTGCAGGTCAACCAGGGCTCCATAGAGACCCTATATAAAGAACCAAAGCCCACCAAGAACCCAAGAGTAAGATCTGTGTATGATATTAGACACAATACAGGGAAGGAAAGAAAAGAGCAGTTGCGTACCTCTCTCCTTGCTTCACAGTTGCTCGCTTTGACACATGGTGTTTTCTTCCTCCAATGTACTTCTAATAAAAACCCAGACGTTTATACATATACATATTTAGACATTATATGTATATATATATATATATATAACAGGGTGTTGACATTGTCTTAGAACCAAAGACTGTTTCCACTGGCCAGCAGTGGGACAAAACATGTAACATTTGAGCCACAGTAACAAGTTTTCCCAGTGTTACCAAAATGTCTGGTTTTTCTAAAAGCTCAGGTCTTGTGTTGTATTCCGCTTTTGTTTCTCTTTACCCCCTTCAGTTAAAAAATGCACCTGCCTTTGTCTCTCATGACCTTGGCATTTCTTAAGAGTCAAGACTTGGGTTTTGGTAGACTTTTCCTTAATTTTGTTGTACCTAATTATCCCTCCAAATTAGGTAGAATGGTGTGTACTTCTTATCACATTACTTCTCTGTCATGTGATTTTCAGGCAGTGTCTGGGAAAGCTGCATCCACCAAGGCCCCCAAGAAGGGGATGCAGTTAGAAGTCTGAATGGCTGGAGCTAGGCCTGCACCACTTTTTCTCATTGTCTCTTGCTTTTTGACAATAAAGTCTTTAGTGGTTTGGGCTTGTCTTATTTATTATTACTATTATATTATTTGAAGTAGAGACTCTATGACTCAGACTGTCCTGGAACTCTTGATATTCCTGCCTCTGCCTCCAATGTGCTGAGTGTACAGACATGTCCCATCTGCCTGGCTTTCATGGTTTATAATGTACTATCTGTGGGAAGGCCACAGTCATACAATTACAGGGCTTTCAGTTTCTTCTATGTTTTGGTAAATAAATGTTGATCCTTTTTTTTTTTTTTTTTTTTTTTGGTTTTTCGAGACAGGGTTTCT